TGGTGATGGGAACCCTGCGGGGATTACAATCGAGATGGAAAAAATAAAATGTGCAAAATGATGTAAAAAAAAATATGTATGTGAAGCTTTCTGTAGAGGGGGTAGGTAAGTGATTTTCCTTAGGTAGAGATGTGAGAATAAAGCATTTCAAGCAAAGGCAAATTTCATGAAGAAATAATTTAGAAAAATATAAAACATTTCTAGGAACTAAAAAGCCATGCAATGTGGGAGGAATGTAGGGAATTCGGAAAACAAAGGCTTGATGCTACCTGACTGAGTAGTATAGGGCAATAGAAACTAAATCAATGTACTGGCATAAAATAGTCACATGGATCAGTGGAGCAGAATAAAAAATAACAGAAGTTTATCCACATACATATAAATACTTAAATCATAATAAAGGATTAATATATAAGATTTATAATGAACATCTTCAGTTTAATAAGAAACCCAAGCAATCCAATAATTAGTGGGCAACAGGTCTGAACAGACAATTCAACAATGATAATATACATAAAATCAATAAATACATGGATAAATGCTCATCATGGCTATTAAGGTTGATTTAATTAATTCAACTTAATAAAACCACAATGAGATCTGATGTCACCCATTTGAGAATGGCATAGATTAAAAAGATAGCAACTTGGGGTACCCCTGGTGGTACAGGGGTTATGTTGCAACACTATGAATCAGTCTGCAGCCACTGCAGAATTAGTTCAGTCCCTGGCCAGTGGGGAGACCTGCATGGTGTAGCAGACCTCCCCTGTTTTCACCTGCTGCTCCTCTCAACAGTGTGTTTCAGTGGATCCTCCTGCTCTGTCCCAGCTTTGTCTCTGGTGGATTCTCTCACTCACTGTATCTTTGGCCTACACCCCAGCTCTTACGTGCATAAATAAATAATTAAAAAAAAAGATTTTTAACAAGTGTTAAAAGAGGAATCCTAATACACTGTTGGTGGGAAACTGGTGCAGCCACTTCCAAAAGTGACCTGGGTTTATGTTAGTATATAAGTTGAAATACTATATGATCCAAAAATCCCACTATTGGGTATATATCCAAAAAACATGAAATTATCAAATAAAAAACTTATATGTTCTGTACTGTTTACTGTAGCATTATTTATAATGACTAAAATATGGAGATAATCTAATTGCCCATTTGTTGAGGAATGAATCAAAAAAATGTACAACCATATAACAAATACTATTCTGCCATTTGAAAAAATGTTGCCATTTACAACAATATCAAAGGAATTCAAGGAAATTATGTGCTGTAAAGTATGTTAGAATGACAAAGAGAAATATTGAACATTTACATAGCAGGTGATTTGACAAAGCAAAATGTTTATAAAAACTAGTGAATATTTATAAAGTAAGTGATGTTTCTGAGATTAAGGAAAAGGTGGTGGTAGGAAAGGTCAATGGGGGTATCAGGGATAGTGGTTATATCCTGTTATACCAAATTTCAAGAGTAAATATATCAGGAAAAATCCAGATGTTAAAGTTGTTATAATAATAAAAATACTTTTAGATAAGTTTGAGGTCACATAAAGTTTTTTTCAGTTGAATGGAAGCATAACAGGATACAGTGGTAAATCTACCTAGGTAAAGAACTGTGGAAGAGGGAGAGGAAAATGGTGAAAATTTTCACAAATTAAAAAAGCACAAATAGATATTACAAAATTTCAGTATGAATCCTAGACTAGAAATTTGGTAGTTCAATAAATGCATACTGATATGTTTTCCCTAATAGCAAAGTAATAACTAAGAATTATTTGCTTAAGTAATTATTTGGGATAAGAATGAATTAAAAACATGTGCTGCTATTTTGAACTGTCAGTATTTATATGAGGTTGACAAAAATGAAAGGCTATTAAGAGCACCATATTCAGAATGCATTCTGAGGATATGGAAAATACTAACATTCAAATATTCACATGGAAAAGTCATAATATGAATAACTAATTATTTTGAAGTAACTATATGACATATGGACTATGTCATTATATTTCTTATGCTGGGGAGAAAGAAATAAAATGGTTTTCTCTCTCTCCCACAGTATCTTTAAATTCCCAAAGCATTTTGCTATTCATCCCTCCCTCTAGGTTTTCATTTTAGGAAGAGTTGGAAGGTGGGAAGAAAGCTTTGAAAGGCACAGTCAGAATTAAATTGAAGAAAAAAGAATATCTTCCCTTATTTCTCATTTTCTTGCTTTCCCTTACTACCACTGCTCAACTGTATTTAGAAGACCTAAACCCAAAGAGATCAAAGATCCCCAGGTGCCTGCATGGAGCAACACAATTAAAATAGTATCAGAAAGTGGATTTAAACTCAACTTTGAAGATAGAAACAGAAATGTTTGAGGTGAAGACCAGGGCAACTTAAAATGATCCAAAATAACATAACAGAATTGTCTCCTGCAGAGAAAGTTCTTTATATATCTGGGCCAGAAGTTTACTTCTATTATTTAATGCTATCTCTGTCAATTATTAGTTAACTATCCTTGGGCAAGTTAGTTCACACAAGTAAGTTTCATCATTCATAGGGTTCTGATGACTTAATCTATGTACATCGATTTTTTCTCCTTAGATTTTTTAAAAATAAAGCAGAAAATTCACAACTACAATATAGTGGACATTTTTTCCTTAGCCATTTAAGTGTTACTGAAATCCATCACCACCGCTGAATATGTCGGTGTGCATTTTCTACAGTGACATTTTCTTATATATCATCAGCAATCCATTTCTATAATCTAACCCACAGATCTCGTTCAGATTTCACCAGTTGTTCCAATATGTTATTTATAGAAAAAGAGTAAAGAATATTGTCTCTAGGCTGATAACTCATTTATGCTCTAAGAAGACCATTCTACTACCCTCTCAGGTTGACAGTTACTCAGTGAGGTATATGAAATGAACAATATATCTCATGCTTATGGGTCCACTCTTATATTTCTTTTGCTATTAAGTGAGCTTCCTGATCAGATGCTATGTTGACTGAGCTACCATGCTTATGGATCAGGCAGAGAGCTAATAACTAAAAAGTTTATTATGGGCCCTCCCTAGTGGCGCAGCGGGTTAAAGCACAGCACTGAGAATCTAAAGCCGCTTCCGCATGAGTTCGATTCCCGCCTGCCCCGGAGGTGACCACATGGCGTAGCAGACCTCTCCTGGCCCGCCCGCTGCTGCCCTCAGCAGTGTACTTGGTCGATCTGCCTGTTCTGCTTCCCACTCTGTCTCTGGTGAATCCTCTCACCCTCCACATCTCTGGCCTGTACCCCAGTTCTGTATGCACAAATAAATAAATCTTAAAAAAAAAAAGTTTATTATGGATAGACATCTGTGAAGGAAAAGTGGAAGAAACAAGCCTGGTGGGAGAGTCATCAGATAATGTTACAGAGCAGACAAAGTCTCTGTAAGATTAGTGGGTACTAATGGAGCAAAGATTATTATAGGAGACTTGCATTGTAGACAGTGTTCAGCCTTCATGCCACTAATCTTTTCCATTATTATACAATAAGTGAATAATTATCTACAATATAGCCTTACTTTACAGAGTAAAATAAAAACTAAGTGGTACCTTCCTGGAAACAGAAAAATCAACTTGTAGCTGTTTGCTAGTTCAATATTAAGTAAGACATTTAAATTAAAATTAGAGCATTTAGAAAGAGTCCGGGTAAGACAAATGATTAAAAAGAGGCTGAATATAATCAAATAAATGTGTAGGATATTTTTTGTTGGTCTTTAGATTTTGGAGGAAGTGGTAAGGAATGATCTTATATTGCTTATGATATAGTAAGTGATTTGTCATTGCAATGACTTAGCAATGCCCACCTGCTTAAAATGTAGTCTTCAATAAAAATAACATGCATCCAGCAAGGATCTTTAACAAGAAATTTTTGATCACTTGCTATGAAAGATATTCATCTGATTCTTGAACATAAAAGATAATCAAAGTAGAAATCCATAAACCATCATCATTTCCAGTATAAGCTTCGATTCATTAGTCCATGCTTTGTTGCCACATCTCATTTTAGACTCAGGATACTTGCTGGGAATATCAGTGAAACTATTTGCTTTTGAACGATGATAGAAATATTCTTACCTGATACAACTGCTTGTTGGTTGACTAATCAACAGTGTGGCTAAAACCTAGAAACTTTCTTTAAAATTTCTGTTATCCTTTTTTAAAGAGAATCTTTAGCTTCGGATCAAGACAAACTAGTTTTGAACAAGATCGATCAGAGGAAATTCTTTGCTTTTGGGAAGAAAATATGAAAGTTAACTAGCCTGGTGCTGTACTCAGAGGGTCTTCTGAGTTGGGATGAAACTGCATCACCCCTTGGACATTAGGATCAGCATGAACTACACCAGAAGGAAATGGGGGAGATTCGTGCTTCATTGAACAAAAGGTAGGTAGAGAGAAATACTAGCATAATAGTATTCCTTTGTGCTACCTCTCAGCCAGTACCCTGGGGAGGAGGAACTGAGCTGTGTGGAGGTATATACCCCTGAGAGGAAATGTGTATAGAGAAGCTGAGTTTTCCCAGATGGCAGGGTCCCCAGTGAAAAGAGCAAGTATAGTGTGCCGTGAGGAGCTTCATTCTCCCACCCCTCTGGATTGGTACTGACTTTATGAAGTGACTGAAAGTGGCACGGACTGCAAATGCTCAAGTTTGGAGCTCTGAGGAGGAGGACTGTCAGTGATGCCACAAACATGAGTCAGGTCCCCACCCCTAGCACATTCCCATTAGTAACTGAAGTCGGCAGGCTCCTCCCCCATCCTCTAATCAGCAGCTGCAAGATTAGGTCTCCAGAACTACAAAAGATGGGAAAAGTCAAGAAACAAAACAAAACCCAACCTTATAATAAAATAAAACCACGGGACCACCTGCTGGAAAGCTGTGAGCAGCACAAATTTGTAAGTGACTGCTGCAGATACCATTTAAAAACAGACCATTCAAAATATTAAAGTTAGCATGCTTGAATTCCTTTGAATCACGAGAAAGGGATTTTAAAATTTTGTTGACAGTACAACTTATACAAATATAAGTCAACAGAAACCTATTTCTTTGGGGGAAATACAGCTTTGCAGGGACAATTTATCCTGTGATTACTGGGTAAGAAAAGCTGACCACTGAGGAGGGTAATTCATGTAGTATAAGAGATATATTCTGGGAGAGTTGAGAAATAAGAAAGCCTTCTCTTTTGAGGATCAGTGTTCGTAGAACCTCTATAATGGGCCATGTTAGTCCTGATCAAAGACAATTTCTTAAAGAAGCTCAAGGAGGAGTAAACATTAGGAAAGGAGAAAATTGTCTGATTTTTGAGATCTAAAAGCTCTTGCTGGGTGCATTACACACCTTTTAAGTTATTCAGACTTAAGCCAATTTGTGTATCCCATCCTTCTGAACATAATGATTATTTCAGATATGGGTATATAACCAAATCAGAGCAGTGGTAATTATAGTCCACTCCCTGTGAAAGGTTAAAAAACATCATTTGTGCAGAGTGGCGCAGTATGTTTCACAAATATAAGATCATACCTCTTCTGATGTATGTTACACAACAAAGCCACCAACAAGGCAACAAAGTCCTGCATCACACTGCACAGGGGCTGTTCCAGACCTGCTCTCCATCTTCCCTCTCCTCATTTGGGAGGAAGGGAAACATCTACTTTCTCCTGGATGTTGAAGTCTACCTTATAAGGTTGGCTTTACTGTAGATAGAAACCCATGATTGCCTCCATATACCATCTTTTTAAAAACACATTCATACGGCTGCCATTGGCAGGGAATACCCTGGAGTGTCCTAGGAAGAACAGTAATATGATCCTTAGGGTAATGTGTTTATTAAGCAAGGCTTAATATGAGAGATGGAGAGAAGCAGTCTTTGATGACAGAGATCCATATATTATTAAAACCACTGTGAGTTGGTTTTTCTCTCACATATGATAATGAATTTGACAATTTATTTTCAAAGATGTATATAATCTAGTTTTCTCTGATTTCACTTATATACACATGTTGGTGTGGGAAAGAACATATAAAGTGATTAATCTGAGCTCTTAATCCCCATAAGTAGTTCAGTTCTTATTTCTCCCAAACTCACCTTTTCTTCCCATTTGTTTTTGAGGACTTCCTGAGATTATTGTGTCATTACATCTAATTTATTCTTCTATAAGAACTATTTACCTCCTTTACGTAGAAACCAAGGCAAAATTTTGGCCAATAAAATCTTTTCTGAATAATGAATTATTTTAAAGTAGACCTTAGACTTTTTTTTTTAATTACAGTAAGAGATGACTTATAATCACTTCTTAAATATCCTTAACTTGGAAATATGTCTTTCTTAGATTCTAATGGTGTCAGCAGAGGTTATAAGATGATTTCTGCTGAACAGCATGGAAGTCATTAACAGTTCAGCTTGTTTCAAGTTTTTGGTCAACTCCTACATTCTATTTCCAGTATGTTCACATTTTCCCAGAATAGCTATGAAATCATGTAATTAGCCTCCAAATCAGAATGCTGACACAGCCATTGACATTAAGTACAGAAAAAAACGATCAATTTGTCTTTTTTAGGGAAATGAGTCTGATCTATTAGTATTAGTACTAATATTGTCCTTCTGTCATTGTGATATGAAATGGCTACTGGAAACTGTCCCCACACTGTGTCCACAATGCCTATTCCAAGATGCAATAAACACCTCTATAGTCCAGTATTTTGCACATATACCATGGTGTACTTATCATTGGGCCAAAATAGGTGAATCTAAAGAGTTAGGAAGAGTGCATGAAATGACATAATTAAAGAGAAAAAGTAGCCAGTGGTCAGGTAGATGGCATTTGGAGGCAATCATGGCTTTCTATCTAATAATTTTTAAAATAAGGTAAACAGAGTCAGAAGCAAACCAATAGCAAACTATAGAAGGCTGACTGTAGAACCGAGGAGGAAGGGGAAGATGGAGATCAGGTGTGGAACAGCCCTTCTGGAGTGTGATGCAGGACTTCGTTGCCTTGTTGGTAGCTTTGTTGTGTAACATACATCTGAAGAGGTATGCTCTTATTATTTGTGAAGTGTACTGTGTTGTGAACTAATGTTACCCCTTCCCCTCAAATCAAAAGATAAACAGTAACTTGGGAAAATATTTGCAACATATGATGAAATGTAAAGTAATCTTTAAAAAACAATTTTCAGCAAGACACACAAATTTGAAAATGGGAAAATATCATAAAAGAAAAATGGTCATTAATGAACATTTTTTTAAAGTTACAAAACAACCCTTGAAGCTATTAATAATCTCTTCCCATGCATGTCCCTCTGGGTATCAGTTTGGGACCTGGGTGTGGGTCTGTGCCCTTGTTTACTGCCAGTGAGTGTGTTAGGAGACACTGCCAATAGCATGGATAAGTCAGAATACAAGTATATCACAGCCCTATGTTGGGGAGACATGCGGAAACTGAAGCCGATCTACTACCATCAATTGCCACTCGTTAAAAGGGTTCTGTTCCTCAGTTCCCACCTGTCTCATGCATATACAGATTTTACAATGGGATGTAACCATATACACATAATATTTAAAGTTTGCACATAAGTTTTTGAATTATTTATTCAAGAGATTTTAGGTACGGCTGCATGAATATTTTGAGTCTTATTAATCTGGTTTGTAATTCTTCTTGCAAGAAAAAGGGGTTGGCATAAGGTGGGAAAAGTGGTGGGTGTATTTCTATATCTGGATTAAGTTTAAAATGATGTTTTTCAAGTAGGAATACTGTTTAAGTAATATTAGTATAAAAGTATGGAATACTGAAATCCACTTCCGTATATGTACTTTCTCATTTGTCTTTTTGATTTGATAATATGTGTGTGTGTATATCTGTATCTATATCTATATCTGTATCTGTATCTATATCTATATATCTATATCTATCTACCTATTTATCTATATATATCTCAGTAGTATTATGATATTCCGATCTCTCTTGGGCATTTTTATAAGCCGATGACTAAGTTTCCAAGAGACGCTAGGAACTTCAGAAAGAAGATGACTAAGTTCCCCACTTACCAGCCAGGACAGTATCTCAGGATTATAGGTGAAACTAGTTTGTGAGACTTTTTCCCCTCTGGTGTTCTTGTATCCTAGGGCTTAGTTTGGGAAGTTTTAACAGTAATTGGTGTATTATTGAATTTCGAGGATGTAATGAAATGTGGACAGGTTCTTAACCTATGTGTGTAACTTTGTCTGCTTTTGAGTTGGACTCAATGATCTCATTACTTATTGTCATGATGCTGGTATGCTGTATGGCATAGGTGTTCCAGTCTGCCAGACCAACTGCCAGACTCTTGTCTATTTTCCTGTTATATTCCCAAAGATTCTAAAAGTACCTGTTACTTAGGGAGAAAGGGTAGGCTCTGCTAGTGTAGACTGTAAGCATTTGCTTATTTTTTTTAAAGATTATTTATTTATACAAGCACTGGGGTATAGGCTAGAAGTACAGGGGTGAGAGGATTCACCAGGGAGCAGAACAGGGAGATCTACAGAAATACGCTGCTGAGGGGAGCAGTGAGCGGGTCAGGAGAGGTCTGCCACACCATGTGGGTCACATCCCTGTCTGGAGATCCAACTTTGTGCTGCAGTGGCTGCAGATCACTTCATAGTGCTGTGCTTTAATCCATTGTGCCACCAGACAGGGCATAATGAATTAATGGATTAATAGAAATGGATTTTCTATTAGAGAAAAAAATTACCATTATTTCACCCAGCTATTTGCTGTAATTTTTTAAAATAGCATTTGCTTATTAAATGATGACATCATGTTTTATCCTTTCAAAAATAGCAAGACAAAACATTTTTCTCCAAAAAATGCAGATATTGTTACTAGTAATTTGTAAGTTACTGGTTACTTTGCTTGCTGCCCATGGGACAGTGGTACAATCTGAAATTTCAGCTCTTACTCCCATAATTACAGATATTTATATTTATTCTTCATCTCAATTTGTTTGCTGGTCTTTCTACAAATCTTAAAAAATGAATCATACTGGGCCCTTCCTGGTGGTGCAACTGGTTAAAGCACAGCACTGAGAAGCCAAAGCCATTTCCGCATAAGTTCAATTCCTGCCTGTCCAGAGGAGATCCACATGGCGTGGCAGACCTCTCCTGACCTGCCCGCTGCTCCCCTCAGCAGTGTACTTCGTCGATCTGCCTGTTCTGCTCCCCACTCTGTTTCTGGTGAAGCCTCTTGCCGCCCCTGTACCTCTGGCCTATACCCCAGTTCTGTATGCAAAAATAAATAAATCTTTAAAAAAAAATGAATCATACTGCAGCACAGTTTGAGATCTCTCAAGCTTTACATTTCTTTCTTCCATTCCTCTTTCCCCCTTTTATTCAATCTTGGAAAGTTATTTAATAC